GGCAGCGGTGTGAGCCTGGCCAGCCGCGTGTGGATCGACCGCGGCTCGGGCCGCGCCGTGCCGGCGGCCTACACCGAGCTGGTGCAGCAGCGCTACCAGGCCGACGCCGTGCTGCTGAACTTTGCCGACGCCGAGAGCGCCCGCCGCACCGTCAACCGCTGGGCGGCCGACAAGACGGCCCAGCGCATCCCCGAGCTGCTGCCCGCCGGTTCGGTGACCCCGGCCAGTCGCATGGTGCTGACCAACGCGCTGCACTTCAAGAGCCCCTGGGCCAAGCCTTTCAACCCCGCCAGAACCACGGCCAAGCCGTTCAAGACCACACCGGACACGCTGCGGCTGGTGCCGACGATGAGCGACGAGCGCGAAGTGCGCATGGGACTGATCGACAACGTCACCGTCATGGAGCTGCCCTTTGCCGCACCCGGCTACGCGCTGCTGCTGGCCATGCCGCCCGCGGGCCGCGACCTGCAGGCGCTGGTGGACGACGTGGACGGCAGCGAGCTGGCCGGCTGGAGCGACCAGCTCAAGCCCGTGACCTGCCGGCTGGAGCTGCCCAGGATCAACCTCGCCCCCAAGCCGCAGGCGCTGAAAGCCGCGCTGCAGGCCCTGGGCGTGGACGCGGTGTTCGGCGCCGGCGCCGACTTCTCGCCGCTGCTGGGCCGCTCGGCCAAGGGCGTCTACCTGGACAACGTCTACCAGTCCGTCGCCGTCACGCTGGACGAGCAGGGCGGCGAGGCCGCTGCCGCCACGGCCGCGGTCGGCGTGGCCAAGTCCTTCAGCCCGCCGGCTCCGGTCTGCGCGGTGGATCGGCCCTTCGTCTTCACCATCGTCCGCAAGCCCTCGGGTGCGCCACTGTTCGTCGGCCGCGTCACCGACCCTTCGCAGCCCTGAATCGAGGAGAACGCCCATGTCAGCCCGTCTTTCCGGCCCCTTGCTTCGCCTGGTACTCGCCGTGTTCGTCGGCGCGGCCGGCGCCTTCCTGCTGACTGGCTTGGTGCGCGGCGAATCGCCCGGCCAGACCTGGACGCGCTTCGCCACC